ACTGCAATGTTACCTCAGTAATTCTATCCACATCCTATTTTATGCTATTAACAGGATTTTTGTTTTTACACTTACTGTAGCGTAAGAGCTACGTCACTGGTTATATGCTGGTCTATGACCGAAATAAAATTGATTGACTGATTGCTTGATATCATAAAGCATGGTGTCATGTCAGACTGTTACAAGCTCAAAAAGGGGACGGTTGGTGAAGATGATGGTACTTGCGGAATTAACTTCTTTGTTCAGAGAAAAAACAATATCCACACTTATGGCTGGGTGGAAACCTCTTTTAGACTTTTTTCATGAAACAGAAAAAAAATGCGCGTATGACTTGTGGTTTTGATGACTGGGAAAGAATTGGGTACTAGAAACAGGGAGGTTTTTTTATAATCACGCAGTAAGAGGCAATTTTGTAATTGTACTTACATTTGCTGCAAAGGAAATCAGAAGCTTCTTTCTATTTCTTTGTCCTCTTTCTTTCTGCAGTTTTGTTTCTTTCTCTTTCTTTCTTCCTTCTTTTTATTAGTTTGTGTTAGTTGTTACGTTCTTTGTAAAACTTTTAATAGAACTGACAGATATATATATAAAAGCATGATGTCATCTGACCGCATCACTTAGCAACAGCAATCCTGGCAGTCCCGGTTGCGTTCGTAACCCCAGGACTCTGCGGGTCGTTAAGTGAGGACCTGATGTGACCGTGATGTGGGAAGAGGCAGGAGTCCCAGGCTAGCAGACTGGCAGGTGGGAGCTGCGGGTGGGGGAGGTGCCATGGGTGGCAGTAGAGAGCTGAGGTGGGAGGTGCTGCAGGCATGCACTAGAGACTGTGGGTGGGGGTGCTACGGGCAAGAGCTAAGGAGTGTGGGTGGGGTGGGGTAGGGGGTGCTGCAAGCGGGCTCTAGGGGGCGCAGGTGGGGGATGTGCCACAGGTGTGCACTAGGGAGTGTCACAAGAATACATAGGGTAGCAGTTCATGCTGAATGCAACCTGCCAACCCCCCCCCCCAAAAGCACTGAAGAGATTATTTTAAAACATCTTTTTTAAAATCTCATTATAGAAACTATATGGAAACAAGATGGTGCCTGTATCCTGTATTCTTGTGGCCCTGGGGTCAAACAATATGGGATCTAAAAAGCATTCAAACTGGCTAACAAAAATAGTTAACCACAGGACCTTAAGGTATAATATCCACATGAAAGACACTTTACAAAATGCAATATATGTAGTTCTCTGACTGTATTTGGGACCAGAAACTCCATTACTAAGCAACACGGTGGTAATGTGTGACCAGAGGCCAACTTTTCTGG